AAGCGGAAATTGTAGGTTTGAGTGCCACTTCGGGCCAATTTTTTTCTTCCAGTACCTTCTAAATCTTTAGAGCTTTAGTGAAATAAAACTTCTAACAATCAGGTTAAGTAGTGTATTCATAAACAGCTGGTTTTTTCTGTGATTGATTAAGAGTCATTTTTAATTCATTCGACTGTCTGTTAGTGAAAAAGAAAGTTCTAGCATTTGAAAAGATTGAAAATAATTTAGAGAATATAGAGGACATTGTTTTAAGATTAATACAGTTAAATCATATTTTAATGTTTCATTTATTTCTATGTTGTTTAATATATTCATTTAGAAACAACATATCAGCAAAATATTCTATAACTATTGATATCTATTTCATTAAATATGGAAAATGGCAAATAAATATGCAGTTATATCCCAAATTTATAATTATAATATATTTGCAAAAACAATTTCATGTTTTGTTAATTATCTCAACCAAAATTAATGAAAATTCCTTGATGTTTCTTAAATTTTATGTAATGTAATTAATAAAAAGTAGTGCTTTACTTTTTTCAAATATCTGGGAATTTATTGATACAGTATTATATTTTCATATTTGATATTAAAAGTATAAAGGCAATATATATATTAATTTCTTCTATTACAAGCTTGGAGGTTGAAGTACATCAGTTTTTGTACTTCAACCTCCAATGGTTCATTTCTGAATACAGAGCTGTTGACCCATATCCAGAAGTGAACCATTTTCAAGATAAAGATTGGTAAAAAATAATAAAAAGCTGTTATTTCATAAATTTAATAACTTTATTTAATTTCTTAATGGAAGGTTGTCACAGGAACTGTTCAAAGTGATAGCTTTTGATGTTGTTACAGGGATAGTACCTAGATTGGATATTTATATAAAACATTCTACCAGAAATTTCAGACATGTCCTGGATAATGTATAATGTACTGTGGTTACAAGTTGTGCAGTAAGATGTTTCTCAAATTCCACAAGTGTCTTGTACATTAAGCTCTTTAAATGGCCTTTAGGAAGAAATATAGTACAGTTGAGAGAATTATGATGGACAATCCACAGGTCTACCTCTACCAATCTGTCTTTCTCTACATTTTCTGTTCGGATAGTTTCAGACAGCATGAGAGAAGTGCACTGGTTATCATCATGTTGGAACTACACTTTTTTAACATATTCCACATAAAATATCTTCTGACAGTTCAGGTAACAACCTATCATTAAGAAATTAAATAAAGCAATGAAATATCATCAGACTTTTTATTGTTATTCATCAATTTTTATCTCAAAAGTGGTTCATTTCTGGACATAGGTCCACGGGACAAAAATTGATGTACTTGGTTCACTCTATATACTATCCAAGTTTGTAATAGTGATTAAGTAACACTGTTTGTATGTGCATACTATGTACTGTTATGAAGTCTGTCGGGATAGAATTCTCTGGATGTATGATTCCTGCCTTTTTTTCTTTTTCAAATGAGTGATGGTTGATGCTGTAGGAACTCATATCGAGAAACGACTGTTAATTTTGAAAACAGGATAGCTGATTGACTGCTGAGCATCGGACCACCTGCAGACCTATGCTGATTGGTCAATCAGTAGCACTGTCAATCCATATAAAAAGATTGAGTTTAGGCGGGAAAGTTAAGTTCTCCTAAGTTCACCTAGGTTGAACTTCGATAGAGTTCTGTAGGAACTTCAGGTTAAGAACGTTAAGTTCGGCTAAGGGAACTCAGGAGTTGGTCAAACGAACTTGTTGAAGCAAGGTTGCTTTCGTCTCATCTGTTTTCTTCAACAAATGTCGGAGGGAGTATACAACTAATTACTACTCAAGGATTGTGTCGTAAGGTGTCTTTTCGACGGACCTGTTAAGGATTAATTGACTACTTGGACTCTAATATATTTTGTGTGTGTGAAACCTATGTTCTAAATATCTCAAACATTGTAATTTGTAGCTCTTGTGAACATTGTAAGTTTATGTAAGTTTTATTTGATGTTATAAACATTTGTGAACTGTGATTTGGAATTTGACTAAGTCGATATGTTGTTATTATTTGTACATTATCCTAATCTATATTCTTATTCATTTTTATATTTTCCACTTCCTGAAAAATTATAGTATAAATTTATTTGTCATCTAGTCTTCTGGCTTAATCAATATCCAGTTATACATTAATCATATACATTAAATTTTGTCGTCTTTTTTTATAATGTAAGTAAGAAACACTATCTATCTCAACAGATATTCAGTATAAATAACCTACTGAAAGATTTTATAATATTTGTGAATAGGGTATAAAATTCATTTTATATTAATTAAAGTAACATTTAAATGTATAATTTAAAATATTAAAGAACTTTTGAGTTAGAAGACAACAGAAGATAAATGTTTTCATAATGTTTCTAGCCAGTAATTTGATGAATAAAACAGAATTTTGGTATTCTGTTGTATGATCTGATTGTTACAATCCATCAAGTCTTTATAGCAGTGATTCTCAACCACTGTACTGCAGCACTTTAGTGTGATATGAGATTTTTTAAGTGTGCCGCCACTGCGAATATCTATACATAAGCGACGTCAGACAAGTAGTTTAATCGGCTGTACCTTCCTAGAGCGCTTTTGGAAATTGTACCGGTAACTGCCAATAGTTACCAAGGCGTTTAGAAAATGTGACCTAAATAACTAACTACATTTAAAAATCACTGTTATGATGTCACTGGTTGTCCTGTAGTACTTACCGAAGTAACTGTGTATGCCGCCAAATTTTTAAATTATTAAAAGTGTGCCATGACGAAAAAAGGTTGAGAATCACTGCTTTATAGTATAATGAATCACGGTTGTTAAAGGAGTTTTTTATGTGTTGTTTCATTTCTGTTCTATTTATCAAATAATAAATATCAGACAAAATAATCTTAAGCTTAGTTCATACAAAAAATGAATTGCTGGCAAAAGCAGGAACAGGAACAAATACTGCATAATCAGTGATGTCCTTTAAGGCAAATTTTTCTGTTCTGTGCATCACAACTGCATATTAACATGTACTTTTTCATCAGCAAAGGTTATTTGCCACTAATCAGAATGATGATTTCTGAAGAGAGAGGGGTTTAAACATGGCAGCTATGAAGAATATACTTTTTAATTCTATTCTTAGTGATTATAATTAATTTTGAAATTTTCTTTTCACTAAATAAATAGAATAGACAAAGTAAGCATAAAAATCAGTTTGCTGGTATCTCTATAATCTTGTTTTAACAATATTTGCTGCTTTTCCCATATTATTGTATATATTGCTGTTCCTGTCTTATGAAACAGCAGTGGGAATTAAATTTTCTATGCAAAAATAAATAATTTTACATTCTGCTTTTATTTTTGTTATCTGAACTAAGCTTACAGGGGAAGGTTACAATGTGGTCTCTGGGGATTTCAATAATACTGTCTGTGTGGATGAACCTTTATTGAGCAAAGGATAAAATTGTGCTTTTTCAAATGTTTTCAAGAAAATTAGTTAAAAATCTCAAGCAATGTATGAGTAAGTTTAGTGGGACCTTTCATCAAAGATCTCATTGTTTGGCAGCAGCATGAACTTACTCATACAACTGAAATTGCTGGTTTTTATCTCAATAAGTGAACTTTTCTTCTTTCAAATCAATGCAATTGCTATGTAAAATAATTGTAAATTATATTATTTTTGTCTATTTTCTATTAAAAATGTGCATTTTCTCCTCCTTGAAAATTTAATTTCAAAATTATCATATGTTAAAAATAAATTTAAAGTTTGTTTTTAAAACTCAAATAATTAATTATTTTATAGTTTATGATGTTTTTATTCTTATAACTTTAATTTATTTTTACTGTCTGTCTGTTATATGAGCTGTGAAAAATGTTTATGATATAAACTAGTCATGAGCAACCTACAGCCTGCAAGGTCCTAATGTGTAGCCCCTGGGGCTTTGGCAATGTAATTTTATCTTTTTGTTTTCTCTCTTGTGCCATTATGGAATCTTAATTAAGCAGATATTTATGAAATTAACTTCTTCTCGATAACTGGATTGTTAACTAAGTACACCAATCAACCTTTGACAATCCAATAAGTAATTTAATGTAAATTCAACAAACATTTTTAATCTTAAACAAGATCTGCTTCAGATCAACAACATTCTAAATTAGTTCTGTGCATTCCAATTTGCAATGTTGTTGATCTGAAGCAGATCCTGTTTAAGATAAAAAACATTTGTTAAATTTACATTAAATTATTTACTGGATTGTCAAAGGTTTTGATTGGTGTAAGCAGATACTTATGATGAAGAACATTCAAACTAAACTTGACCAGTGAAAAATGAGAATAAACTGCATATAACTAGTTTCCATATCATTAGTATTTATTATTTTAGTATCTGTGGTGTACCAACATACTCCATAACTGGCGTATGTTGATACTTGAAAGACTTTTAACTGCAACTCTATAAAAAAAAGTATGTGGCCTACCAGAAGCTTATGAACTTTACTTGCATACCTCACCAGAAAAGGTTGTTCAATGCTGATATAAACAATAAAAAACCAGAGAAGGGACATTAAAACATGATTTTTTTTCTGTCTCATGTCAAATTATTCATAATATTCTTTGTCATATATAAAATCACTAATTGATTATACATATTTTTTCATTTAAATGTATTAAACATTTTTGAGTGTGATTTGGCTCATCTTCAGATAAATGCTTAAAAACTCAATGGAATGTTTTCAAACATGAACATATTAACATTTTCAAATATTTTCTAAATTTTCAGTAACTGTCCAAAAATTTTGTGTGACTTAAAATAGAACATTATATTTCTCTATAATTTATTTAATGCTTTTCAATATACACTACATAGTTCTAAAACTAAAACTAACCCAATTATTTTTAAAGCTATATGTTGAGAGAAAATCTTTCAAGATGTATGGTAATTATAGATAAAAATAATAAAAATATCTTAAAGAATTATTCATTTCTTCTAGGAAACAAAACAATTGAAGATGAAGATAAAGACTGTGATAAACATCAACCAGAGGTAAGTATATATATTATTTTCTTAATTCCTTACTTTTCAAACACACCAGTAAGTGCCAAAATATTTATATTACATAACACTGTATAATTTAAGCTTAATAATATAATTAAAATTTAACCATAGCAGAAAGGCAATATTTTTTTGTATTTATTGAAGTGGAATANGGTACTTTATGTTTTAGTTACATTTTAGGAAATTGGTCAGGATTTTGGATTGATAATATAGTATGATATAATTTTTTTATTTAAAATACTGCAAGAAGACTCCCGATTAGCATCTCCATGCAGTCATCTAATTTTCAGGAATGGATCAGTGACATTAAGCACAAGATACCCTTATTTATTTCTTGTTAAGTATTCTCGATATTATTCCTGAAAAAATTTAAGCAGTTTGATTTTCTAGTTTATGAAAAAATTTTCATGAGAGATTTATTGTAGTAGTTCATACCAAAGAAACACACATCTTACACATTATTTTCTGTGGTCATCAATGATCTAGCATGGCAATCATGAGAATTTTAAGTGTGATCTAATTTTGTATGGATTAAAATAGATATTAGATTAGCAGTTGCTAGATATTAATGGTGTAACTATACTCAAATTAAATATACATGTAGTTTTCTAATTGGATCATATTATATATGAAATATACAATTGTATAAAAAATTTAGTATAATTAATTCCTAGTTTTTACTTATAATGATTAAGTTGAACTTCAAACATTAAAAATTTCAAAAATATTTAAATAATACATCAAAAATTTCTAGGATAGAATGAAGTAAATACATTAATTAATGATTTATGTTGTTATCTGATAGAGAAAGCAATATAAAATGCAAGAAAATTAATTAAAAACAAATTTATGAACATTTTCATTACTTATGTTTTTATAGATTTCATTAATTTAAAATAAACAAACAAATGAAAGTGGTAAAAGGGCATGTATTTACTTTGTTAGATGATATTTTAAAAGCCACATTAGTCTGTAAAATGTGTCTGTTGGAAATTTCACTAATGTATGAAGAATGTAATTTGATTTCTAAATGCGTATTTATTAATGTATAACGTATTCAAGTCATTATAATCTACTTTCTTATGATACACTACATGTTCACAGTCATTCCTTTGGCAATCAATCCCCAATCTCATATCTATGTTGTAATTTATAATAAATTTTTATGAGTACATTAATTATATATACATTAATTAAATAACTATAAATAATATTTTAAAGTCTAATAAAGAATAATCAACAATAAGACATAATTAAAATATTATTTGAAATAATATAGTGAAAATAAAAAAAAAAAAGTTTAAATAGACAGATGGCACTTAAATTAAACATCCATTAGCTGTAACGCTCTACAAGACAACAACGGCTAAATGTTAATGTTTCATGGGGTCTATAATATTTGACATTTTGATAAGTTATTAGATTTTTCTGTATTGTATTCAATGTTTTGCTTTGAATTCACTATTTCATTTTTCTTTTTTTTTTAATAAGTGGTTGTCTTCTACTCAAAAATTTCATGTCAGTCAGCCAGTGAGGCTTGTCTAGCTTTATTGGGCTGCAATTTTCAAATTACAGACCTATACATTCCCACTGCTGTGTGTCTGTTCATCCTTCATTAATCTCAAGAAAAGAGTTAGAGAGATGAAAGTCGAGACCAAGTATGGAAAGCTTAAGGGCCAGAAGCCCCAATTAACTATATACAAACATATGGTCTGGACTGAAAGTCACATAATTTTTTTTAAAATGAAAAGATGATTAAAAATTGCAGCTTGGCCTTGTGATGATATCATTTATAGATTATATATCAATTAATATATATCAATGTTTCTAAAGATAAACTACGTTAAAACTCAGCTAAAATGTAAGATTTAATGTGTAACTGGATACTTTTATGACGTTTTTAACCACATATCTATTTGTTGACATTTCATGGTGATGTATTAATCACTCGGTTGTTTTGTTTCTTTCACACATATATAACAATGAAAAGAAAAACTTAATTTTTTAAAAAAATATCTTTAAAAAATTATAATTTTATTATGATTAGGATGAGAAACTTGAACGATAAAACATCCTGTAAGTTTATTATTCTGGAAGATCATTCAGAACAGGAAAGAAAAGTTACTTTAAATTCAAATACGATGAAATTGAATTTCCTTCTTTTTTTAATAGTTTTTGTTTCTTTGACCAATATATTCCAAGAAAAGGAGCCAAAAATATTTTAAAATTTTTATATTAAGATATAAAATTATATTTAACATGGTCAGTGCTTAAAATGCTTTGAAGCATCCTATAATGCCTCACCCAATATGCCAAGGATGCTTGTGTGCATCCTTGGTGTGATTATATTATCACTTGGGGAAATTTTATCCTTTGTTTATAAGAAAGAAGGTTTATTTTTTATTGTTGTATACTTCAAAGAATATATTTCATCCATTAATTTTGTATTATGATAATCTGTTTTCATACACTACAAACTTTGATGGTTTATATTTAATATTTATTTACAAGAATTAAATTAAAGACAAAGTAATTATATAAATTAGGGGTCACCAAACTACGGCCCGCAAGGTCAGTTCATCTGGCCCGCTATTGTACCGTGCCATAAATGAGCTAAAATATAATTGTTTACATGGAAATATCATAGATTGTAGATAAACTTACTATGTAGAAAAAATTAAAATAAGTGTAAGTACAAAATGCCAAAATTGGTCCAATCTAGTTTTTGCATCTGACAGTAATTTGATATTTAGGAAAATCGGCGAAATAAAAAATTTGGCAACTTTTTGCCACTTTGGATATCAGAATGCTTTTTGTGTAAGTACCTGCAATGAAGTTTCTAAGAAAAGTGATTATAAGCTTACTGCAGCCATTGTGTTTGTGTATTAGTAAATAAATATATTGGTTGTCTTTATTATTTGTGTATTCAGTATACTGTATTGAACAAAATGTTTATGCGGCCCGTGCTCATCATTCTCTCAGTTATGTGGCCTGCTGTAAAAAAAGTTTGGTGACTCCTGATATAAATCAACAATGAAGATATTAATAGTTATTATTATTTAATATTAGTTACTTTTTTTTTAAAGTTGACTGTATGCATATACTGTACTTATATACACACATAATCCACTTCACATATATATATATCTGTTTTATATATATATAAAACAATTCAATATAATTCAAATATATATATATTTGAATTATATTGAATTGAATTTGAAATATGGAATATGGACGTGATTGTTATTCTTACTTTTCAACTGTTAAAATAGCTTAAGAGACTTACAATGAATTCTAGATAGTTTGAACAAGTTAAAAAAAATAAAATTTAGATTTAAATTAAAGCCGAATGACTGTTATATTAAGTAAAATAAAACAGATATAAATGTCCAAATATATAGTTATACTGTATATTAAAGCCAAATCATGTTGGGCTATATTACTACTACTATTGTTAATTAAACACTAAGTAATTTTGCACTAGAGGCAAGCATTAGGCATCATCTCTTGCTAAATTTAATAATTATAATTAAATTAATATTTTAATAATTAATTTAGAAGTATTGTAACATTACTGGCAACGCAACCTGCATGGTAAGCGGAAATTGTAGGTTTGAGTGCCACTTCGGGCCAATTTTTTTCTTCCAGTACCTTCTAAATCTTTAGAGCTTTAGTGAAATAAAACTTCTAACAATCAGGTTAAGTAGTGTATTCATAAACAGCTGGTTTTTTCTGTGATTGATTAAGAGTCATTTTTAATTCATTCGACTGTCTGTTAGTGAAAAAGAAAGTTCTAGCATTTGAAAAGATTGAAAATAATTTAGAGAATATAGAGGACATTGTTTTAAGATTAATACAGTTAAATCATATTTTAATGTTTCATTTATTTCTATGTTGTTTAATATATTCATTTAGAAACAACATATCAGCAAAATATTCTATAACTATTGATATCTATTTCATTAAATATGGAAAATGGCAAATAAATATGCAGTTATATCCCAAATTTATAATTATAATATATTTGCAAAAACAATTTCATGTTTTGTTAATTATCTCAACCAAAATTAATGAAAATTCCTTGATGTTTCTTAAATTTTATGTAATGTAATTAATAAAAAGTAGTGCTTTACTTTTTTCAAATATCTGGGAATTTATTGATACAGTATTATATTTTCATATTTGATATTAAAAGTATAAAGGCAATATATATATTAATTTCTTCTATTACAAGCTTGGAGGTTGAAGTACATCAGTTTTTGTACTTCAACCTCCAATGGTTCATTTCTGAATACAGAGCTGTTGACCCATATCCAGAAGTGAACCATTTTCAAGATAAAGATTGGTAAAAAATAATAAAAAGCTGTTATTTCATAAATTTAATAACTTTATTTAATTTCTTAATGGAAGGTTGTCACAGGAACTGTTCAAAGTGATAGCTTTTGATGTTGTTACAGGGATAGTACCTAGATTGGATATTTATATAAAACATTCTACCAGAAATTTCAGACATGTCCTGGATAATGTATAATGTACTGTGGTTACAAGTTGTGCAGTAAGATGTTTCTCAAATTCCACAAGTGTCTTGTACATTAAGCTCTTTAAATGGCCTTTAGGAAGAAATATAGTACAGTTGAGAGAATTATGATGGACAATCCACAGGTCTACCTCTACCAATCTGTCTTTCTCTACATTTTCTGTTCGGATAGTTTCAGACAGCATGAGAGAAGTGCACTGGTTATCATCATGTTGGAACTACACTTTTTTAACTTATTCCACATAAAATATCTTCTGACAGTTCAGGTAACAACCTATCATTAAGAAATTAAATAAAGCAATGAAATATCATCAGACTTTTTATTGTTATTCATCAATTTTTATCTCAAAAGTGGTTCATTTCTGGACATAGGTCCACGGGACAAAAATTGATGTACTTGGTTCACTCTATATACTATCCAAGTTTGTAATAGTGATTAAGTAACACT